GAACAAGGAACTAAAGAAATGCAAAACCGTCTACGACCACAATTTGTTCAGCTCAATTCCCGGCCGCACTGACGTGATGTGGAGGAAGTTGAATTCTGTTTTAAATCGCAACGACACGCAAAACAGAATTGAATCTATAGCACAAAATAACGTTGAATTGACTGGTCGTTCTCTCGCTGATGTATTTAACGCCTTTTTTGTAAATCTAGGGGGTTCCAATACAACTAATGCTTGCAGTTATATGAACCGAAGAATTCTGGAAACTTTCTATTTTAATCCAGTCACTGAAGATGAAGGGGTGTCAGTGTTTCGTAACGTAAACGTTAGTCACAGTTGCGACACCGATGGTATACAGATACACCCAGTACTATACGTTTTGGACATTATCGGCTGTTACCTGGCGTACATTTTTAATCTCTGTTTAGAAACAGCCATATTCTCCCAAAAGATGCAGATAGCCAAGGTGATCGTGCTTTATAAGAAAGGCGATAGGAATGACATAAACAACTACAGACCTGTGTCACTTCTCCCAGTATTTTCGAAAGGCATGAAAAAGATTATACATAATCGTTTTATTGTGTTTTTTGGAAAAGCATAACGTCATTACAGAATCGCAGTTCGGATTTAGGAAGAAACGTTCTACGGAACTAGCTTTGCTTGACCAAAAAGAATTTATACTGCGCAACTTTGAAGATAAGCATATGTAGTACTGGGCATATTCATCGATTTTACAAAAGCGTTTGACTGCATTACCCACGAGTTGCTCATTCAAAAATTAGAGTAGTATGGTATTAGGGGACATGCAGCGCTTCTCATTAAGTCGTATTTAGAAAAACGGCGTCAGTTTGTTAGTATTCAAGGTCACTTTTCTGATATCAAGCCAATTAAGTCTGCGGTACCACAAGGCAGTATACTTGGGCCATTGCTCTTCAATATATATATATTAATGACATCGTTAACATTGGGCAGCAATTGGTGAAGTTTATCATTTACGCGGATGTCACCAGCCTCTTTTTTCAGGTAAGAATTATAATAAAATTTCGCACCATAAAATGACACCATAAAAGCTCTAGACACATGGGCTAAATCAAATAATCTCATAATTAAAAAGAAAAAAACAAGGCGACCTTATTTCGCACCATAAGAACCCTGAACTTACGAGTGATATTTTTCTAGACTCTTCGCCTATCGAAGTGGTAAGCACGTTTAATACTTTGGGGGTGTTTTTCTCCAGGCACATGTCTTGGACTGAACACGTTGACTATATTATTTCTAAGCTTTCTCGTATCACTGGTATGCTGCATAGACATCGTCATGATCTTCCAAAAGGAGTTAAGTTGCTTTTGTATAACTCAATGTTTTTATCTCATCTGAATTACTGCCATTTAGTTTGGGGGACGACGACAAAAAACAATCTGCAAAAACTATTTCTATTGCAGAAAAGAGTGTTACGAATTGTGTGTAACGTGCCTTATGATTCTCACACTGCCCAACTTTTTAAAGAGCTGCGTGTAGGAAAGATATTTGATCACTATGCTTTCAGACTTAGCATAAAGTAAAAACAGGAATGTCGCGAGTTAAACAGTTTTTTATTGTCATTATCATCACTTCGAAAAAAAGCTGCAACATATTCCACCCGTCACTCGGATGTTTGGGCAGTAGAAATATCACGAACAGATTAAGGCCTCCAAATGATTAAAATAACCTTGCCCACATTACTATGGGCTCCAATTTTGATGTCGAATCTTTCAGTATGTGTGCGCTTAAGGATTATTTTCTTTCAAATTAAACAATCCTTACTGCTGTTGATTAGCTAGCAGGTTATTGCTTTTGCTTTTGTCTTGTTAATTTTTTGTTGTTAAGTATTTTGTATTATATAACTTCTTGTGTATGACTTCCCCAATGCTGTGTACCTGGGGGGGGGGGGGGGGGGGGGGGGCTGAGGACCAGTAAAGCTGCTTGTACAGCTTATTTCCTCAGCTACCACCATAATAGTATGGTTAATAAAGTCATTATTAAACCCTTCAGACGACCATTAAATACCCCAGTGGCCCCATTGAATCTGTTTCACCATTTGCTTCCAGAGCTATTCTCCTACCAGATTGCAGCTTTGTTTGGGCATAAAGCTGCACTCCCAAGGGTCGAACAATAATTTGATTTTAGGTTTACACCAATAATGCATACCTGTAGCATGCAGTTCCACGGTCCTATTGTTCACTACAACTGCATTTCTGTTGCGTACCTGCGTACCTGCTGCGTCATCTATATACTCAGCCGCGTTCCTTGGTGTAGCGAGTCGTAAATATGTAGACCTGAACCAATCATACAGTGGGTGTTTTTCGCTGCGCATGCCCCTTGTTGCTGATCACTGATGACCATGAACCTGCGGTTTAGAATTACGAGATGGCAGTCAGGCAAAATGGTGGCGCTTGTTTCAATTGGTTTTGCTTGATGTGCTTAGGCCCCGGAAGACAGTACCCGTCTAACATTCGTGGCTCGGCAGTCTTTTCCTGTTTTTAGGGCTTTAATTACTTTAGAAGCTTCCCTGGATATTTCGCACTCTACGTTTTGTCTGGATAGCACCTCAGCGGTAAATTGTCCTTCCACAACTGAAACACAAACTTTTCATATTTCATGACACACGGTGTAAACTTCAAAAACTTCTGAACCATAAATGTTACTGCTTGTTCTCAACTGCACAATGCATTTTCCTGTAGCCCAACCTGATTTCGCGGAATTCAGTCCGACATGTTAAAAGTCGACTCTAAAATCGTGATATGAAACAAAACAGAATTCTAAACTATCACTGAAAGTAGATCCTTTTTTTTTTTAATACTCGTTTCCGAGGATGAAACAATGTGTTCGCATTGTTCAGTTTATGATTGTTCGGTTTGAATATAGCTCGTATTTGTTAGGTTGGTTTGCCAGTGACCTGATTGAGAGTTTGATGTTAAATTGTGCGTTATGTCTCCATCTGGCCAGCGCAATAAGACCTGCTAGCTTGAAGTCTTCAACGTCCATCACGAAGTAGTTATTGCAAAATTTCCCGCCGGTAAAACGCCAGTTCCTATCGAAGGCGGAAAAATTGCGACTAGAAATAATGAGATCCAGATCGTTGCGCTCCGGTTAGTTGCTTTCCATGCCTTCGCGTGACTCCAAGGAGAAAACCACGAAAACGAACTCAACTTCACAGGTGAGGTGCCCTTATTTTGATCTCAATTTGATGGGGACAAACCACGAGGTGCGAAAACAATGTGATGCATTTGTTCACGGTTCGTTGAAGCAGACCATCGAAGTGTCCGAAAAGTATATCGATTCGTTAAGTGCATACTTGGGTAGTCATTCGATTACAGAAATTGAATTACTATAATTTAATTACTTTTCTTTGTAATTTGGAACTGTACTTAATTACTTTCGGCTAAAAAGAGTGGCAATTGTAATTTAATTACGTTCTCGTTTACGTTTTAGCGTCAGTAATTGCAACATTTTAGGCACAATTACAATTACTCTGGCAAAACCGCCCAAGTAAGTGCGCCGACGGAAACTCTCTGAAAGCGTCAGCGCCCGTACAAGCGGCCTAGCTCTCCGTGAAAACCTCGCACACAGACACGTACAACATAAATAGCGTTGCATCGTTTGTTGTTTTATGTTCGCAGTGCCGGCTGAGAGACAATCCTCTTTGGAGCCTTCCTCAACGACGCCGTGTAGCACCGTCTGCGGTGCGGGCAGAAAACAATAGCGTAAACATGCCAGAATATTGAAGAAAAAAAATTAAGCTTCAGCTTTCAGCCGAGATTGGGAATTTTAATTGTCAATTAGTTATTTTTCTTTTTTGCCAGTCTTTTTACTTCCCTTTACCAGTGCTGTCGCATATTTGTATTTTTTTTTTTCGACTTTATTTCCTGTTGGTTTTAGTTCGGATATTATATGCATAAGTGCAAATAATATCCGCGCGCCTGTGAATATTGTCACCAATGATTCGGGAGCCCCGATTTGGTTCTTCTATATTTCTGAGCCATTATAATTTCAACTCAAGGTAAATAATTTACAATACCGTGATGTTTGAATACGAATGCGGTCGTATTAGCGCGTGTGGATTGTAGTTTTATATTAACACCCGTAAAATATTCATATTTGACTTATTGTCATACGTTTATGCCTTGTTAACAAAAGTCTGTCAACCCAATTTTTTCTTTAGCGACATGGCGTCTTCCAGCATATGAATTTATTATTATTTATTAAAAATATAAGAATGTAGTACTTCATTGCCCCAAACTGTCAAGTTCTTTTATGAATTTAACAAACTTCATAACAGGAAAGTACAATATCTGGCATTTATGCAGCGATGCTTAGGCCTCCTCAAACATTGAGGCAAGGAATGAACAAATACGTTGCATTCTATACAACTCGTTTAAAGTTATATGGCATAAGTCGGGACACTCCCAGAAATAAGTAATTGTAAAGTAATTGCATTACTTTTTTCAAAAGTAATTCGTAATTGTAATTAATTACTTTAAACTTAGTAGCAACTGTAGTTAAACTACTTTTGAAGCTAAGTAATTGTAATTCTAATTAAATTACATTTCGGAAGTAATTTACCCATGTATGGTTAAGTGCCATAAATCAGCTGTTTACGCCAGAATTCTAGTTAAATTTACCATAGAACCGGCGATCGCTTATTTCTGCTCTCTCGTTAACTTATACGCTAAATTCTCCGCGGTTGCCTGTTCATGACGCTGCCAGTACGGAGTGGCCGACAATCGTGTATCACTCTTTATTTGAATCGCGACTTGACGTTAGTATAACCGCACTGCTTACGCCTTTTCATATATGTCATCTGGGCCGGCTGCTCCTAATAACATCATAACTGCCTAATTACCGCTCAATGTTCCAGGTGTAGTTTAGTAGGACGCGAACGGCGGACGAATGGAAAGTGTTTTGTTCTTTCGTTCCAGCCAACCGGGCCCTAGCAAAAGAGAGGCTGGCGTCTCCCGCCAGCGATGGGATCATTCACCGGACATGTACTTCCAGGGATGCTCTTGTTTCTACTCGGAAGTTGGTGGGTCTTCGGCACATGGCGCGCCTACATTCTTAGCAGACTAAGGCGTCGCAACTACTGGTGCACTGCGTCCTTCGCCCTTCCGAAGCTCCCAAAAAAGCTCTGCTTCGAAGGACTCGGCAAGGTATTTTGCGCATCTGTCGGTATAGCCGCTGAGACAGTCGCAGCCTTCAAGCATGGTGAGTTCACAAATGTGGGCTCCCATACCCAGCATATATCGATGTACATCTTCTACGGTCTCAGCGGCTTGGCAGACGTTCTGACCACTTACAGGGCTCCAATACCGCGTGGCACCGACTACAGTATTCTTCTGATGACCATCTGCGTGGAAGGACTTCTGTTTCACTTTAAACTTCACGACAAGGCTCACCTGGACGCGCGTCTAATCGAGCTTCTGGTCTACACCATCGTGGCAGAAGCGGCGTGCATCGCGGCGGAGATGGTCCGACGACGAAGCACCCTAGCCGCTTTGGGAAGGGCGTTCTTTGGAGTCGTGCATGCAACGTGGCTGATCCAAATCGGATTCGTCCTCTACAATCCGCTGCCGAACGCGAAAAAGTGGGAAGAGAATCATCAGAACATGATGTTGGTGACTGCCGTCTACACCTGGCACATGATTGGTGTCCTGAAGTATGTCGGACTGATGGGTGTCGTTTCGTGGCTTTGGTGCTCCAGGTGCGAGATGGCTGACAAGAATGAAGATGGGGACGATGTAGAAGTGGGACCAACATACTGAGGCCCACGAAGTTTTCTTCCATGCAGTTCTGTCTTTACAGGAAATCGCATTTGCCACTATTCTAACGCCGAGATTGAAATGAATTAAATGTAGCGAATTTTATCGCACGTGTTTCCACAATAAAAACTCGTAGATGTTCATCTGGGTGTAATGCGGATCGAATGCTGACGCTTGTTTTGTGTATGCCGCTGGCCCTTTTTTTCTTTTTTCGTGTGTATGCGAAACATTTCAGTGACAATACAGGGCAGGTTGTTATGCTCCAGGCGACGTTGAAGCACTATGGTTGCGGCATTTCTTCCGAGCAGCTTACTTCGACCCTATTCTGGCAAAGCGTTGCAGACCTGCGGTAAAAATACAATAAATGGATAAATACGTTTTTTTAAGCATATGACCATCAAACTTTCTAAAAATATAGTTGCATCACACCTGACATCACGAAAATATGAGGATCCTCGCACATTGGGGTATCTCGTTACTGCGCTGCCTCAAGGAGAGCTAAGCATATCAAAGTACCTTACATATACATCTACCGGGTGATTCAAGGAGACGGCAGGCTCTTTAAGTCGACCGGAAAAATCGGTTTCTTAACCTATCGCGCTACGACTTTGTGCAGCGTTGCCCACAGATGGTGCATTTTTTTTTTTTGTAAAATTTGCCAAGAGCGAACTTACCCGAGGAAAAAGTAAAGAGAGAAAAAGGCTTAGCTCCTATGGAAACGCAGCGACGCCACCGGTCTTCAAACAACACGGCGCCGTTTCGCACGAGACGCGCTGGGCGAACGCTGGGCGCCGCCGCACGGGACGCGCGACGGCGCCCAGCGTTCGATGTCAGAAACGCCAGGTTGGCGACGCCACTCCAGTCAGAACACGTGCATTTCCCCTTCTCCCGTCTAATCATTGCAACTAAAACTCCAGTCTGAAATTCTACCCCTTAATGTTCCAACTCGTTCGACGTCGCGACCGTCGCGCGAGCATGCGCAAAACGTTATGCGACAAGCGCGCCCACTGTCGTAAACTATGCTACGACAAGCGCGCCGGCTCTTGTTCCTGTTTGTCGGCTTGTTGACGGGACCGCACTGCTTGCCTCCCGATCAGAGTCCTCGGTGTGCGTGCGTTGTCTAGGCACTCCTCGCCGTAGGTAGCCGGTATACTATGCGGAATGGCCTGGCCGTATACCCCGTTGCACTGCACTGCACCCTGATCGCTGCCCACGCATTCTCTTTGAGGCGTTGGTCGCGGCAGCCCATTCGCTTCGTGTCATAGACACACGGGTGGAGATTCGAGGTTTTTCGACGCGGTCACCAAGCAAGCTTCGAGGAAAAGATGGGTGATCGTGTCGGAAATCATCAGAACCTCTCTCACCTCCAAGCTGTGGGCGGCCATTGCTTCTTCCTGCCTAGGAAAAAGGCAGCGACTATTTCGGCGTCCACCGTCAAAACGTTTCAAAGATTATTTTGCCGGCTATGACGTCACTTTCCTAAAACGTCAAAATGGTGGCTTTATTATTTCGACGTCCTCTTTCAATGCAGCTGTCGCAGAGTAGCCAGTGGTAACCGTTTCATGGTTTCGCTCTGCTTAGTTTCTGATGATGTCGTCGGTGTTGTGTTTAAATGTACACGTTTTGTCGCATGCCTGTGAAGTTTCGGTCCTACTTGGCACTAAAAATGTCTTGCTCAGTGTGTGTGTGCTCGACAGTTGATTCTTGCACACTTGACGCGCCCAGCGGAGATGTTCTGGGCTGTCGCACGTCATTTCGGCACACGTCTCACTTCAAACATTGAATCCACAACAAAGGCGAGCTGCATATCGCTCCATCTTGCCCACACGTAACAAATGTAAGTGCGTACACGACGTAACACTGAGAGATTGGCACGCTTTTTGCGCCTCCAAGCTTTCACTACCGCGTGAATGCGTCTTCATATGGTTGAAAGGTCTCGCTTTGCTTCTGGCTCCCCATGTTTTTAACCGGGTTTTGGATGTTCGTTGTTTAGCTTAGATTCATTTTTTTTTTGGGGGGGGGGGGGGGGGGGGGTTGTGTGTAACGAGTGGGTTAACTACGAAACGATCGGGATGTTCAATAAATTGCCCGTGAATGCAAACATTGCCTATTTAATGTTTGTTGACCGGTGCGAACGAACAGTCTGCGCCGCGGTTGTACGAGACACACTCATTTCCGACAGCAAATATCGTCTAATCAACTGCAAATTTTCTTACACGGGATTCAACTCTTTTGTTCATATAAAACACGCGAAATAAATCATGAAAAGCAACGGCGCCGCATTCTAATTTTTAGCACAACCAAGAAGATGGTACGAGCGGCCTGATAGCTGATTTTGTACTTTTCATAAGTTTTTTTTTTGCATTCCCCATCACTTCAAAGATCATAAAAGCTGCAGTCGACTGCATGACATTTGTTTGCGTGTTAAACCGCGACGCCGCCTGCAAGCAAGATGATGTTGTCAGGGATGAAGGCGAAGAGACGACGAATAATGAACTGAAAATAAAGTCCGGAATTAAAAACAGCGCGGAAAGACGAGGACCAGACAAACAAGTGACACGGACGTAGCGCTGTTTTTAATTCCGAAGTATGAACCAACTCGTCCAAGCCTCAACTGAAAATAAAGGTTTGATCGGCGAACCTGAGCAAGAAATGAAAGAAAGAACGGACGCCGAGAAAGCAGCAGCGAGCATCGACGACAGCAGCAGCGAGTGACGGTGCGTCGGCGATACAGCAGCCTAACGCGAGTGAATAAGTCGGCAGTACTGCCCTCGGCTCCTTACCAACTGCACTCGGTAAGTCGAATATTCGACCTAGAATGATCGGGAGTGAGCTAGGTCGAGACTGAACAGGCAAGATAATTCTGGCCTCCTAATCTTTTACACCCGGGTTAAAAGTATAAAGCACTCCTCCTCGGTCATGCACGCGGTATATTTAATTGACCGCCACTTTCGATCACTTATCAGTCCGCACTCCGAAAGTACCAAAGGCTGCAAAAGTTCCAAGTTGGAGACGTCAAAATACGGGGAAAAATATTTTTAAGGAGAAGTCAAAGTTATAGACCCTTTCCGAAATTCAGTGCCATCTGGTGGCTGAAATGGCGGTTTAACTTTTGCCATACGAATGGCGGCAATGAACCCGTAGCCTGCAGTATGTTATCGGGCACCGTCACTTTTGCATGTCAACGGCAGACGAGAATAAACTTTTCGCTATACAGGTTTTTCTGGATCATCTCTTCCAGTGTCGATTCCCACAATGATGCAACCAGTCAGAACAAAGCGCCAACCCAGACAGACGCCTTGATAAAGTCCTAACTAACAGGTTCACTGGGCTCGAATTAGGGAAATGAACACTTACGCAGCGCTCGCATTCAATTCCGGTTTCGCAACGTGCTAACATCTAGAATGTGTAGGGCCTCGAATCCTCAGCTTAGGAGTATCTTCAACATGTTCCTTCATCAGTCAATCGAAAGCTGCCATTGGTATGGCACATATGCCATTTTTCAGATGATGATGATAGTGATCAAAGTGGCCAGACTGAATTTCGGAAAGGGTCTATTCTGGAAATATTTTAAAGTGTTCAGAAGTGGCGTCACGATCGTCAAAACACTTCAATTATTTTAAACGTGGACGTCGAAATAGTCAGACGTCGACGTCGAAGTAGTCACTACCTTCGAAAAACGCGGGTCGCGCAGAGGCGGAGCATGCGCAAAACGTTCCGCGACAAGCACGCCCACTGTCGTCAACTTCATGAAGCTACGATGGATAGATGGATGGACACTGCCGCTGAACCCCTTCAATCGGGCGGCGGCTTGTACCTCCTAGCCTGCTAGTCTACAACGAGCGCTCCTGCACACGGTGCGCCCGTGGGTGGCGTCGTCGACGCGAAAATAGAACATGTCGTATTCCAGCGACGGAGTGGTCGGAGCGCAGTCGCGGCCACCGGTCACATCGGACGTCCTGGCGCGCCGAACTATGAAGTGCTAAAGTTTAGCTAAAGTGGCCTTCAGTAGACTCACCTTTAGCGGCGGCTGTACATATGGCGCCATCTCCCGATAGGCGCTGCGAGCAGACGGCGGGCTCAATCGACGGCGGACAACCCGGTTGTCTGTTACCTACGCCTATAGGGAGATGGCGCCACAAGTGCAACCGTCATAGCTATATTGTGCGTGCCGACGCTTGCCGCGGACTCGCAGTTTTGTTGACCTAAAGTTTTCTCGGTCCGATTACACAGAAAAAGGGGGGTACGTCTTGAAATTTCACGACGTGAAATCCACCACTAAATGACTTTTAATCAAAACTTGAGATCGCTACGTGCATGCTCAGAGTTTTCCGACTAATTTTAGAGCCTGTCTGGAGGTTTATACCACCTTCAGCTTGGGATATACAAGGCCTCGCTATTTCTTGCAAAAACAGCATATTATGTAAATTATGTTTGCTAATACAGATGTGCTAGTTGGCGACTACTTCCTCCTTTGTTTTTTTGGGGTGATTGAATATAGACAGAATGTAAACACCACCGTATTAGCTGAAATGTGTAAAGAGTTCAGGGTGTCACAAAGAAAAATTTACAGGGTTTTTTCCGCCGCAAAAATAAACTAGGCGTCGCCGAACGCTCATTTTCCGCCGAAAGGTAGCGCTAGAGGCCACAACCAGATGTCAAAGTTTCAGCCCGATCCGATACCTTAATCAAAAATTATAAGTGATTTCCTGAAAATTTCAATGGGAAAATGGCGGCCGACGGCGTTTCCGAATACATGGGGCTCTATGGCACCAGAAACCGAAAACGGGCAAAGGTAGGCTACATTTTCCCATTGAAATTTTCAGAAAATCACTTATAACTTTTGAATAAGGTATCGGATCGGGCTGAAACTTTGACATCTGGTTGTGACCTCTAGCGCTACCTTTGGGCGGAGAATGAACGTTCGGCGATGCCTAGTTTAGTTTTGCGGTGAAAAACCCTGTAAATTTTTCTTTGTGACACCCTGTATATTTCACAAAATTAAAGTAGTCCGTCAGTACTAAGATGCACACGTTGAATAATGTTAACAAGAAAACCATACAAAAAGCCCTCGTTGCTTGTAACAAACAGCGGAGTGCGACCTAAACAACAATTGACACTTTGCGTGCGCCTACAAATTCTTCGACTCGCTGACGCTATTCAGGTGCAAAAAGTGAAAAGCAAGTTCAGGTAAGTACGTCTGCGTATGCAAGGTGCTTAATTTCGCTTTGAATGTTGCCTTTTTATGTTGCTATTATATTGCTAAATAAATTTTAGAAAAAGGGAAAATGCCTATACGGAAATATCACCCTCCCATGGTGGGGGAAACACAAACAGACGAGGAGGAGGCAGTGAAAGAGAGGGAGTGCCGGGTGATGATAGTTTGCCCATGATGGTGGCTAAAGGTTTCGCTAACCGAAGCAGGGGTAATGGGGTATTTCGTATATAAGCTCGTTGTAGCGTACATGAAGTGCAACACTGCCTAAGTCTGCAGGCAAGACTGAAATAAAACGAAAAAGATACAAATCCACATACTTGGTAGTCCACGGAAGCTTCAGAAGACGAATTCGGACGCCGCGACGGCAGCGACACCCGCGTTTGCTCGTGCTTTTGGCCGGAACTTTTACAACCAACCGCCATGATCGCAAATCAACATGAGCACTAATGTGACGAACCTTTTCTACACTTCCGAGGCCACTTTCGATGGGGGGTTTGGGGGGGGGGGGGGGGGGTGTATAGGACGCTGAATACTCCAATCGAAGACTAGTCACAGTCACCGTAGTTGCGTGTAAACTAGAGGGCGCACGTTAGACTAGAAACTCGCTACTCACAGCTATTAAAGTATAAAACTTTCAATATCTTTATTGCTAGGAGGTTCAAGGCTTTGATGGCGGGCGTTGCATTAAAATAATTTGGCAGACCTTCATCCTGACTAACATTCCAGCAAATATTCTGACCATCTGTTCTGAGTAAGCTCCAATTCAGATTTACCCTTCATTCGAACTGGTACTCGGACACTCATGGATTAAACACATAGTTTTACTGCGTGATAAAGCCGTAGTAAGGAGTGTCCGTATCCCTTTGCTATTCCACATGTGCCTATAAACGGCTTGCGAACAACCAGCATGAACTCACAACCTTGTATGTGAATGAAAGGTGTACACATTTGGCACTTTGTTCCCTTGACTAGATCGGCCACACATAAATTAAAAGAAAAAAAAAGAATATACAACAATTGGTGCCTAAATATAAAACGTCAAAGGTCAAAGGCACCGCCAAAACATGGGATTATACACACGGGTTCCGCTCTCACAGGACAATTTCACGTCGCCTAGGTACCATCCCAAACAGGCGGCCTACAGTCCGTCTTGGAATTCCAGAAGCTTTCGAGGTCATCGTAGACTCTCGCTTCTTTACGACCGCTATTAAGTAGCTCGCATATCCTACATAGGTGTAGGGACGGCGATCCAAAGTACCCGTGTTCGTTGAGCACGCGGTATTTTTTCTTCCACGCAAAGTACGAGTTGTACGCCGTGTGATTCGAGTCCAGGAACTTGAGGTACTCGGCCAAGTGACGCGGCCCTTCAAAGTCTTCAACGTGGATGAAGGAATGAGGAGGACACAAGCGAGAATAGTCTTCTTTAGACCCACCCATGACCACGGGCAGTACCTCCTTTTCGAACGCGTTCCACCACAGCTTCTCCGTGATGTACTCGCGGCAGTTGCTGTTCTCGAACGCCAGGTAAAACTTGTAGTCCTTCATGACGTCGCAGTCCCGCGTAAAGTGTCCCGGACATGTCTTCGTCCCGCATCCGCCGTAAATGTCGACGCTCACGTGCTTGGCAAGCTCGCGGACGTACGGCCAACGTTTGTTGGGACCACCGCAATTGCTGCCCAAAATGGCAACCATCCTGTGTCTGGACGTCGCGTAGTTCGGGAGATCTGCCATGTTGGACTTCTCTGTCTCGGACAGTTCCACGGTTCTTCCGTAAGCCGCGGGGATGTCAGAATCACTCCTGTACGTCATACTCAGGTTAAAGATCCCGTTGTAATCGCTCATCTTGTACTTTTTAGTCGCCATGAAGGTATGCAAGGGCGACTCGTCCGTGAAGAAGATCCATAGCTGGTCAGGCCTATGGAACTTGGGCAGCGTCTCTGGGCCTTTCGTCATGTGTAAGTGGAAGAAGACAGCTGCGGCTTCGCCGATCTTGTCGTTTGAGGTCTCAAGAACACAGTTTCTGACCGTGCAGAACTCGAAGGGGTCCTTGTTTGAGGAACCAAAGGATCGGAGGAACCTTCGTTCCATCCGCTTGCCGACGTCCCAGATGAGTACCTTGTGGGTAGGGGCTTCCACTGGAAGACTTCGCTGCACCGATTTAGCCCTGCTCCGAAGTAGTATGAAGAGGGATCCAGCGATGGCGATGAAGTAGAAATACTTCAGGTGTCGGGCCCTCAAGGTGTAGCCCGCCATCTTGATGGCTTGGGCGATGCTCGAGACCTGGAACATATGGGCAAGAACAAAGAACAAAGCTCGGGTCATATCAACCGGTAACACCAAAAATAAAGTCAAGGATCAGATTATTTACCAACCATCTGAAATAAGCTCGAGGATTGACAATACTTTAGAGTCACATTTGTCTACAGAACATGAAACTTAATGAACATCATCCCGATCATTTCTATCAAACGTCCCTCTAAATGTTCGACTAAAACCTCGCGTTACGACCCCCTTCATTTCTTTTTAAATAGACAAGCCATCGCTTCATCCGCAAATTCCATTATTAGGTAGTCAATGAGCGATCTTTTTTTTATGATAAAAATTTCTTCCTCCGACAACTGCTGTGCTATTCCATAAATTACGCGCCCCGAACGTTTAGCACCACACAGGCAATTACGGGTTTCCGGAAACACAAGAGGGATAAACCTCACAATCAATATTACTTTTACAACTTAATTAGCAACGTCCAGCATATAATAAATTAATTTCTGCGATAGTTCACGCTAAGATAGCTAAGACGGTACGGCTCACAGAAAAAGACGCCCCCCCCCCCCCCCCCCCCCCCCCTCCTTTCCTGCCCGCTTGGTGGGCATGTCACAGGCACGCAGCCTACCAAAACATTTTGAAGAGGAGGTTAAAGCAGGATGATTGAACGACGAACAGGCTAGTCTGGACAGACGGATGCCCCGCCGTACGAAACGCAGCGAACTTGGCGTGTAAATGTACACGGAGCAAATTCGTCCTACAGCCTCCCGGCGCGTTCTACACGGAAGTAACACGCGCACAAAGCAAGGGGTCATTGGCACCATTCATCGTTCTGACTGGAACCTACCGGGGACTGGTGTTGCTAGGGGGTGCAAGGCCGCTTCACCGCATCGTCTCGTAAATTCCAGTCAGTCAATAAAAAAAAGAAGGAGAGAGAGAGAACTCGTGGATGTCCGGTCAGAAGAGATCGACGAGAGATTTCTTTTTGTGGCCGAAACTGGGCACGGCGGCCGGATTGCCCCGGCGGACTGTTCTCAGTCTTCTCTTTACGACCTGAAAGCAGACGCGAACAGAAAAGACATTGGAATAAACAACAAGAGCCCGGCACAGCAGGGCACTAAAGGGGAAGCTAGATAACCTTCTTCATTTATTTATTTTTTTGCTACGCTCAACGACTACGCAAGTCCGTGCTATGCTGCCGAAAGTTCTGGAGACTGTTTTAATACGATATGTTTTTATTCATGTTTTGTCTGCTCGTTTTTAGGCATTATTTTGGTGAATTTGGCTGGCTTGATCCAATCAAGTCGCCCAAAGACGCGTAGAGAAGTGAAAGGCAGCTGCCTACACCCTAAAAAATGTCTGTGCGTCTACTTTCACGCACACCACTCGGAGAGCCAATCACCGCAGTTTACGGAGGCAGCTCAGCGAATGACGATGCCGAAACATATGTTTAGTCCAAAAAACGCAGTCTGAGTTGGGACATTAAGCAATGCAAAATGTCACGCTTGCATTGCTTAATGTCACGACTCAGACTACGTTTTTGGTCTAAACATATGTTTCGGCATCGTCATTCGCTGAGCTGCCTCTGTAGGTTGCGGTGATTGGCTCTCCGAGTGGCGTGCGTAAAAGTAGACGCACAGACTTTTTTTTTTAGAGTGTAGAGAAGCGGACTCATGTGACATTAAAAGAAATGCTCTATAGAACGCGGAGATGGAAGATGACCTAGTACTTTATATTCAGTACACCGTTGCAGAAGTCTGTCCGAATTCAGGTTGACCCGTCATCCAGCAGAGCACAGAACGAGAGCCACGAAGGCACATATACACACACATTAAAAAAAAGTTGGACAAGAAATATTTTAGTATAAACATTCTAGCTGATACACCATATCCCAAATGCGTTCTCTCTGTTAAGCCTTTTTATTAGTGCACGTCTATAGTCGCGAAGAAAGTCGGGGCGTGGCGGGTCCTTTGCATCTCATTATCGCCGCGCAGTCAATGAGATTAGAGCATTAGTCGATAAGAACGTTCCAGAACCAATCACAAAGCAAGACGCCCGATCATAATAATGGCCAAGCCCAGCGTTTTTGACATGTCAGTGACTATATACATGGCAGGGTATCCAAAGGTGCGCTAGAAATACGTATGTATGCAATGTATAAAAACACAAAGGTATACGCGTTTTTTTTTTCATAAAAAAAAAGACAAGAACAAAAACAACTGATCTGACGCGCCACCTGGACCCTTAAGACGCTCTCAAAACTGCATTAAAATTTTTTTCCTTTGTAAATTTTTTTTTGCCTGGAAGTTAGGAGTATTTAATAAAATTCAGAATAAAAAATGTTCATATAAAAAATAGGGAACAGCACTTTTGCAGCTTTATACACTCACATATTCGAAATACAAAACGCGGAATTCGCTTGGTCTCTGATATTGTTACGCCACTCGCGATGTTTACCTTCCGGCGTCCAGGGTTTCCTTCCCATATTTAATGCGCGTTTCGTTTTTCTTTCTTTCTCATCGTCGGTTTTTGTTTCGGACCGCTCGTACTTTACTCGGAATGCGGCCAGGGAACAAACCGGAACGCGGACTCGGCCGACCCATTTTTTTTTTCCGTCGGGGATATGAATCAAAGCCGCACTTGTCGATGTTTAGCTTGGCCGCCGGCAATCGACGCGGGCCCGCCCTCTAATCAGGAGACTGCTCTTCGAAGGGGGGACACGCACACACACATACACGCGCGCACACACACACACACGCGTGCGCGCGCAGCATATGTTGTTTTTCACTTCGGCCGATGTAGAGTCACTGTACTCGGTCTCAGCACGACCCCAGTTAACGCTATAGATTTTCGCAAAATCCGCCTTCTGCGCGGTGACATCTTTGTCTGCTGGGCATGCGCCGTTGCTCTGTTGTGCGGTGTATCAGACGCTGCGCATGCGTCCACACCTCAGTTACTCAACATGGAAAGGTTTTATAGGACCCGATGGAGCAAATCAATCAATCACGAGCAACTAAACCAATCACAAACAGTAAAAAAAAAACGCGATGGTTTTTTTACGTGATTTGTTTAGGTGTAATAGCGAGCCCACAAAGCAAACAAGCTCCGTGACGACGCAGTTTCGACGTTGCTCGATTGGCTCTGAAACATAGTCGATTGCCTGGCTGCATAGTTGATCGACATAACGAAATAAAAAAAAGCAAAAAGGACGTCACAAATTCAGAAAACAAACACACACAAAGGTTTTAATTTAAATCCTTGAAGAAAAAAAGAAAAAAAAATCGTCCAGGAATGTGGCGGCTTTGATTGGCGGGCCGACGCCGCGCTTGACCAATGCACCGGCAGATCACGGCTGTCGAATTCCATGCCGACTTTTTCGGCCGAGTGTCCAGATTAAAGCCCAAGGGACAGGCGCACAATGTGGCACTGGCAACTAATGTTTATCAAACAATTCCAAAGACCACACAAAAAAAAAAAAAAAAAAAAAAAAGTTCCGCGCGCGCGCGCACGCACACTGTTTCATTTTTATCGCGAAGAAAAAACCAACACACGTGACACCCGCGCGTTCAGACGTAGCGGGGAAGGTCACGGGGGACTTTTAGCAAACCGTTACCGTATTCCGCGTGTACCGCACTGTACCGGATCCCTACGAAGGATGCCTTTTCTAACGCGCGCCCAGGTGACACCCCGTGACCCGCGGGTACTGCTGTATACGCGAAACAAGGTGACGGTTTGCTAAAAGTCCCCTACAATCTCTTTGGATAAACTGACTGCTTGGTAAGTCGGCATTCGAGTGAGTGAAGGGGACCACGCGATACGAACGGGCAATGTGGACCACAGGCGTGTGCAGATACAAAGCTTATTCATCTACGATAATCTGGTTCAGGCACGTAGCCAGGATTTTGTTTCGGGGGGGGGGGGGGGGGGGGGGGGGGGGGGCCCGGGGCAAGATGCCCCCCCCCCCCCCCCCCCCTGGCTACGCGCCTGAATCGGTTCATTATACATATATGATATACATACGCGTATTCTCTAACTTTCTCCCGTCCGTTTCGCACTTTTTCTTTCTTTTAATATCATTATGTTGATTGGGTTTGGATCACATATCGCCGCCGGTGGGCAAAAAAAAAAAAAAAAAAAAAAAAAAAAAGAACGAAATGAAATATAAATAAGTTGTGCTGAGAGCATCGGCGCCGGCTCCATGTCTGGATTTTCCTGTAGGCGTCGCCACTTTGATGCTTAGTGCAGGGCGAGCACCATTGGAGGGCCCTTGCGATGCAAGAATGCAAACTCGGGAATCGATACGCTTTCTAGCACACTAAGAACGGGTGAAAAGAAAAATACTCGCAGACATTTTTTAACGTTACTGAGCGTTTTCTAAACGACGTGAACAAAAGCCCTCTTCTTGTGGAAATGAATAGGTGCCTCATTCGCAAAATATCACGTTCGAGTTACGTGAGCTCACCTCGGGTGTTGTCTAAAATTCAAATTCCGACTCTCAACATCCGCGTTTTTTTTCTTCTTCTTTTTTTTTTTTTTTTTTTTTTTTTGCTGGGGTAACGTCTGTTTACAATCTATGGCAGGGAGATGGATGCCTGAAAAAAAGTAAATGTTCACAAAAAAAAAAAAAAAAAAGACACAGCGTGATTCGATGGACACAAACACCAAGTTAACAACCCCGGCTATAGAGCTAATTAGTTATCACACGTGGCAGAAGAGGTTCCCCTGCAGATTCAGCACAAACCTAACTCCCTCAAGAACTTTTTTTTTTATAGCTCAACCAGAATGTCAAGTTAAAAAAAAAAAATAGTTTTCTGTATTAAGCACGAAGGACACTTTTTACCCCTTCATTTCCATAACAATCTAAAATACATCTTTTTTTTTTTATGGTACGAGTTTTACGTAGGAGAAGGACCCACCAAAAACGAAAGCCAACGGAAGCTGGAGACCACGAGAGCATCGGTTGGAAGGCCACGCCGACAATGAATGCTCCGAAGTAGCGGTACAGTCCAGCCGCAACACGGGGTATCGCTTGATCGGGGGACAGAGCACGGAAAAAGCGCATCACCGCCGCCGACCACAATGCAGCTGCGAGCAGCGCTCTGTTTTTCCTCGTCACGTTCTATTTCTTTCCTCGGCTACCAGTCGTGCCCTGATGCAGGTCCCCGGTTAAAAAGGAAAAGAACGGGACGTTGTACGACATGTTTCCGGCACACGTTGCAACGAAAGGAAGGAGCTGGGAATTCGACGAGTAAAAAACAGCGTTGTTAAAGTCGCGGGTCGTATCGCAAAAAAAAAAAAAAAAAAAAAAAAATGTCTGCAGGCGTTTTTTTTGAGGCGTGTTTTTTTGCATTGAAGAACTGTCTGGAGGAGACATGTTCGAAAACATACATGTATGCTTGGAACATGCCTGAGGCTGGATGAATAGATGGATGGATGGATGTTAATGGCTGCACCCTTTGTAACGGGCGGTAGCTTGCGCCACCTAGCCTAAACCTAATGCGAGTCCGCAGATAACTCGTTCATCCTGTCTGTATAGGACACCGCGTCCTTTTGTAGGATGTTTAGGAGCACTTTGGGGGTGCCTTGCGCGCTTCCATAAGCCGGAAAAAAAACACTTCGGTTCGAGACGAGGGGCCCTAGAGACTGGGGAACGCAGAGTTAAGGCCGACGTTTACGGAAAGTGCCGATTCGACATTTCGCCACAATGGCGGGGCGCTCTCTTTTCTTTTCTTTTTCCTTTTCGTCGGTGGAGTTTAATTGGTGTTTTTTCAGGGGGCTTTCTTTTCTTTTTTTTTTTTTTCGTCACCGGAGTTTAATTGGTGTTTTTTTCAGGGGGCTTTCTTTTCTTTTTTTTTTCGTCACCGGAGTTTAATTGGTGTTTTTTCCGCAAACTTTCAACTCAAACTTTGTGTTTGGTGAGTCTAGAGCATCATATGTTAGCAATGGAGGAGAAAACCTGATCAAGGACGAGCAAGCTCGTCAAACGTCGAGCTGACTTTTAGTTCGGACAAAATGGTTCCGATAAAAACTGCCCGAACAAAGTGGTCCCGAAG